CCAGCTAATTCTACTTTTTATAGAGGTGAAATCTCAGTCTTGTTAGGGCTAAAAATCCCATTTCTTGAGGTATTATATATTACCTCTTTCTAGAGCTCATGAGTAGATACTCTTTATTGACCAATAACCCAAAATGGAAAATATCTTGATCCAGTACCAAAGTTGGAGTCCATGCTGGTGACCTGCAGATAGATGGCTGTTTTCTTTAATTAATGGGATAGTGGGCTAAGGCATCAGTTCAGAATAGAAGCATATGCTAGAAGTTATTTAAGTACTTCTTCTTCATACTGGTTAAGGAGTACCTTTTTCAAGAGGAGAAAGGGAGCCACTAGCCCAGATGTTTCAGGGGATAATTTATGATGCAGCTTTAATGGTCCCCGTGACTTAAGATCTGATTCAGTAGTGATAACTAGTTGATTGAATTTTCAAATTATGTACTGTCATTAACATCGTATACTTTGTTTCAAAGGTCATATATTCATGCTCACCCCCAGTTCAAGGGAGCATGCATTATGTATGCCAAGGGTTACGTAACTATAATTTCTGGAAATGGTAAACAGCTGAGACTAACCCTAAAAATAAATTCCTCTGAGATTTTTTTGTGTAAAAATCCATCTGCCCTCACTGCAGGTTCATCATTACAAAAATCACTGGATCAAGCCAAGAGGCAGAGAAGTCATTAGAATCTCTCCTTCCTGGGCACCCTCTCCACCTCCCTACAATGTGTGTACACACACACACACACACACACACTTCATGCCAGGAGCTCTTCCAGATCTTCACTACAAAATGGGAAGAAAGTCTAGAGAAGGAAAGCCAAGTCCATCAGACTCTGGTAGAGGAATGACAAAAGACATATTTATTCATTTATATCTAGTTCTCACTCCTTCATTGATCCACAAGCATCTTTAAGCCTAAATCCTTTCTTATTCTGCCAGGTTGAACAGATTTGGATACTCCTTATTTAGGTTCCAAATAAATAGGCAGTATTTACCTTACTTCAAGGTTTGAAGACATTTTTTCCTTGAACATTTGTTTTTCCAAATATGGAAACAATTGAACTGGAGGGAGAATCCAGCATAGAAAACCCTTAAAAATGGTAAAAATTAATTTAGTCTTTCTGGATTGAAGTTCAAATCTGAGTACTATTTCTTATATTGTTAAGTTCACACCTGGGATCTGTTACTGGCTACATTTTCTATTGTAGCTTTTATATATTCATCTAATTACA